ACAACAATGGAGCAGAATCACATTCTCAGTGGGCTTCAGCATAGCTTAGTTCAGACCTGGGCAAAGTGCAGCCCAAGGGCCACATACGGCCCCTGAGCCGCTCCTGTCCGGCCCGCCAGGCATCAAAACCATTTATAGCTTTTTGTCTAAAGTTGATCAGTTGCTTATCTTTAACAAACCGCAAAAAAAGCTCTTTAGTATTTGTGAAGATTAACAAGTTTAAAATAAAAATAATCATAACATCACTGTTTCATTTTATTTTTAAGTAAAGTTGGTTCGGCCTCCAAACACAGTTCAGATTTTTCATGTGCCCCCCCTATAGAAATTAATTGCCCACCCCTGGCTTAGTTCATCAACAGGTATCTACTTGGCAGTCTAGAAGTCTCATGGGCTGAAATTTTAAGCACACTTCAGAACAAATTGCAGGGAAATATGAGTAAACTGTTGAGTTGTACTGTGTTTGTGTGTGAATGTGTATATTTGTGCATCTGTTGCAATATCTAGCTTACATTCTATGAAACTATTTAGAAATTGTATCTAGATACCTGTGTTAGCACTTGGGAATCTACTACGCAAAAGAAATATTTCATGTTTTATTTACTAGCCTATATCTAATACATTTCTTTTCAGAATGCATAGCGCTAGTGCTTTTATCTCTATAAGCATCTGTTGTGAGCAGTTCAAACTCTGTTGACACCAAATGATTAAACCAGAACCAAGCAACCATCCAACAGAGGCTGAGTAGTTCTTGTGATGACTGATTTCATCTCAAAAGTTTCCACTGCTTCTAAGTAAATATAACCCACTTTTTTTAAAGAAAAGGAGACTAGTCACTGCACATGTTTCATCATATTTAATATTTATATTATGGTAGTGATTTGGCGTTGTTTGAAAATCAATATGGTTTTTCAGAATTCCCACTGCCTGCTTAAGTTATATTGTTGCAATCTATTTCCCTTTGTCAGAAGTCTGAGCTGAAAAGGATTCTTGGAGGGAGAGAAAAAAAATCTTTGTAGAAATCAAAGTTTGATTATTCCCGTGGTTTGTAAAAGATGCTGCCAGATACTCCTACTGTCCTATGTGAATTTCCTTTCTGCTTATTAATTCCAGAAAGTCTGCTTCCTTTGCTCATGGACAGAAGAACTGATTCAAGGATTACTTCTATGGATTGCATTACAAACAATAGGGGTACAATCCAGATCTATCCTCTTGTCTTTAATTTTTCAGATTTGAACAGCTTGTGCCTAGATCTCTGTATCAGCTGCCTTCCATTTGTGAGGGACAGGATGTCCAAAGACAAACCAGCTTAATTTGATTTCAGACTTCTAGAAATGAAATGCCAGCTGTGTAGCTGACAAAGAAGGCTGCTGTGTTTAGTTGAAAAAAGTCACATAATGGCTTCTGGAAAAGCTGTTGGCAACCAATAAATTCTTTTTTCTTTTTAAAGGCCAGTTCCTCTACATCCATGACTGTAGGAGCCAGGTGTTCAGCACTCCCTACTCTTGATATTTTCAAAACAGACGAGGGTTACTCGGGAGCATTTAATGTTACAGACACCATGGGATCAGGATCTGTGAGAAGCAAACAGAGGAAGACAGTTTGAAAAAAAATTACTGGCTGTATCATGCCGTGATCAGATAGTATTCCATTTCACAGTTTGGTCTGCTTTGGAAACGAGCTTGTTCATTCCTTTTTCTGATAACCACGTGATAATATGGGCAATTGCAAATCAAACCGATGTCTGCCAGCACCGTTTTGGATCACTGGTGTTTTCTTAGTGTGACTAGGATTGATCTCTTTTGGTTCAGATCCAGCATGTGTGATTGCCAGTACTGAGCCAAAGCGGATGCTTTAGCTGTTGCTTTTCTTAGGCCAATACAGAATCTAACTTGTTATTAAGACATTTAAAGCTTTCTCCCACTCACCCCCACAGAGAGGAAACAGAAAAGAATGCTTCTCATAATTAAAGACTGCTTCAGCCACTGGAATGCCAAAGAGAGGTGTAATTCTATGGCCCATTACTCTGTAGTGACTCCGATTTTGTAGAGTAACACATCCAATCAAGATTTAGTGCAAACTTTACAGCAGCTATCCAAGGTGCTGAACCCTAACCTCGGAGAAGATCATCATCCTGAAAAGCTGCTATAAAGTTCAGACTAATGTGGAGTGGATACACTATCCCCATGAAATTGGACTCACCAGCCTTCATTGCCATAGCTAAATATGTGAACATCCTGGAGGGGAAAATATACACACATTTTAGGACACACCCCCATTTGGGATATAAAAGGCTGTGTAGGTGGGGTCTCTGTCCCCCTTGCCTAGGATTTCATATGTCATTCTATCAACATGTCTCATATCTGCTTCCTCTTACATATTTGTAGGAATGCTTTTAACTGGATTTCCTGCATTGTTGGTGCAGGGTTAGGTTTCATTACCATTGCTGTCCCTTGCACCTGTATGATTCTATGAGAAATGGCCTCTTGCTGAATAGCCCACACTAGAGACCAAATTGTCACACTTTTCTATAATTTGGCGGGTCTGATGCCTGGCAGAAATAAATGTCAACACAGACTGATAGATAATGGCAACCCGACAGG